TGCTTCAATCTGTATTATATGTACACTAGGTACTTGCTGCAAGTCAAATTGTGTAATGATACAACGTTACAATGGAATGCTGGGTAATGAGCACAGATAACATTGCTTTGACGACTTAGTCGTAATGTATCAATAGTAGAGATACATCCATATTGTTGAGGAACAACTGCCTCTAGTTATGATACATCAAAAGTTCAGATTTATCATTCGTGGTAATGTATCATTGGTTGTGATGTACCAGTATTAATGGTTGTCGACTCGATTATTTACAGGTAGCCACCATATACCCGGTAGCGGGAATATTGTTGAGTGCGGCGTAAAACTAAATTCACTTACTCACTCATTGGTTGTGATGTACCAGTATCAATGGTTGTGATGTACCAGTATCAATGGTTGTGATGTACCAGTATCATTGGTGGTGATGTACCAGTATCAATGGTTGTGATGTACCAGTATCATTGGTTGTGATGTACCAGTATCAATGGTTGTGATGTACCAGTATCAATGGTTGTGATGTAGCAGTATCAATGGTTGTGATGTACCAGTATCATTGGTTGTGATGTACCAGTATCAATGGTTGTGATGTACCAGTATCATTGGTTGTGATGTACCAGTATCAATGGTTGTGATGTACCAGTATCAATGGTGGTGATGTACCAGTATCATTGGTGATGTACCAGTATCATTGGTTGTGATGTACCAGTATCAATGGTTGTGATGTACCAGTATCATTGGTGGTGTATCAATATTTGTATTGCACCAATAGTTGTAATCTATCAATATTTATATTGCACCGATAATTGTGATGCACCAATAGTTAAAAACAGTAAAGTATTTCCTAGATTTACCTCATGTCCTGAATCTCCTTCTCATTAAGCTCCTTTAAATTTATCACTGTTTGTTTGTTTCCAACAAATGTATATATATAGAGAGACTAAGTGACAGTCCGGTAATATTTCATCATTCAAAGTTCAAATGCACCAATCGATGCAATATATCAATATTTGTAATGCATCAATATCAATATTTTTAATGCATCAATAGTTTGTTTACAATTTTTCAAACAATGTCATAACTTTGGACACAGAATGCTTGAAATAGAATAAACATCCTCTATGATGAGGGCTTCCCATGTCCTTCAAATAAACCCCTACTTCCTTTCTGATTTCTTTTGCCAGTTTCACACTCAACCGTTGATCATTCTGTTTACTTCAAATGCTGGGAAGATCCATGTTTCCTGTGCTAATCACGAAATAAAACATGGTTATCAGAACATACGGAAGCTTTTGCAATTATACAATATCTCATGTCATGACGTGCATAATGCTATCAAATTTGTAATCTTGGACATAAAATCATCATTTTATGACATTTGCTTTCAAAACATTATCATTTACATGAGAAAGGGTGGTATCATTCTCAAGGAACACCATACAATTTGTGAAAATGATACCCTGCTCCTCGATTTGTTCATCTTGTAAAAGTAGTTTGAAAGGCAAAACCTTTCAGAATGCCTAAAGGAACAGCATTTAACCAGGACATGTCACCACGGAGTGGAGATAGCAGCAATAAATGCTTGATATACTGCTTTAGAAACCAGAGTGCAATGAAGGCTACTGGAAGAAACACCATCAAGCTTTTCTTCCGAAGTATCATTTCACAAATGGAAAAGAGTAAAAAATAAATCCCCTTCTGACAAGACACAATCTTTTTTTTCTTGAATTATCTCACAGCAAGAACCTGATGGTTTTGTCAGAAACGGCAAAAATCCAATGAATACCAAATATCCTTATGAAATTTGATGAAGTTGATCTGTACGCTGGGAGCCCCGGGCATGTAGGAGAAACAGAAAGGATGTGGAAGGTTTGATGGAAGGAGTACTTGGGAAGGGATAAACATCACTAAACCCTGTCTGTGTCTTGTACTCTCTGACCAAGAAGCACAATCGCTTGTAACATCTCAAGGTCAACATGTAAATCAATAAACAAAATAACATGTCTGTAAATAAATATGTTTGTGAATTTGGTTTAATGCCATTCGTGAACGTTATGTCAGTATTGTATTGCAGCAGCATGACCAGATTCAGCATTGTGTTTGTTTTGTTGTTTAATGCCACACTCAGCATTATTTAAATATAAATAATTAAATCTGGACCAGACAATCCTGTGATCAACAGCATGAGTATTGATGACATGTGTCAACCAAGTCAGCTAGTCTGACCATCCAATCCTGTAAGTCACCTCTTACGACAAGCAAGGGTTGCTGAAGATCGATTCTAACCCGGATCTTCATGGGTAAAATTTAACTAGGAATGTCCATTCGGACAACTGATGACTATTTAAGTATTCAATAACCAATGTGACAACCAATCCCCATACAAGTAGTCAATAACCACTGGGACAACCAATCCCATGCAAGAAGTCAATAATCAATGTGACAACCAATCCCCATACAAGTAGTCAATAACCACTCTATAACCAATCCCCATACAAGTAGTCAATAACCGCTGTGACAACCAATCCCCATACAAGTAGTCAATAACCACTGGGACAACCAATCCCTATACAAGTAGTCAATAACCACTGGGACAACCAATCCCCATACAAGTAGTCAATAACCACTGGGACAACCAATCCCCATACAAGTAGTCAATAACCACTGTGACAACCAATCCCCATACAAGTAGTCAATAACCACTGTGACAACCAATCCTCATACAAGTAGTCAATAACCACTGTGACAACCAATCCCTATACAAGTAGTCAATAACCACTGGGACAACCAATCCCTATACAAGTAGTCAATAACCACTGGGACAACCAATCCCCATACAAGTAGTCAATAACCACTGTGACAATCAATCCCTATACAAGTAGTCAATAACCACTGGGACAACCAATCCCTATACAAGTAGTCAATAACCACTGTGACAACCAATCCCTATACAAGTAGTCAATAACCACTGTGACAACCAATTCCTATACATGTAGTCAATAACCAATGTGACAATCAATCCCTATACAAGTAGTCAATAACTACTGTGACAACCAATCCCTATACAAGCAGTCAATAACCACTGTGACAACCAATCCCTATACAAGTAGTCAATAACCAATGTGACAACCAATCCCCATACAAGTAGTCAATAACCAATGTGACAACCAATCCCCATACAAGTAGTCAATAACCACTGGGACAACCAATCCCTATACAAGTCGTCAATAACCACTGTGACAACCAATCCCCATTACAGTGTACAGGAAACCACTGTGACAACCAATCCCCATTACAGTGTACAGCAAACCACTGTGACAACCAATCCCCATACAAATGCACAGCAACTATTCTGAGAAACATTACTATACAAATGCTTAGCATCCATTGAGACATCAAATCCCCACACAAATCTTCAGAATCCATTGTGACAACCAATCCACGTGTCAATACTCGACATCCATTAGGGCAACCAATCATCACTAAAATATGTAGCAGGCATTGTGACAATTAATCCCCCCAAAATACTCCTTGCATATATGTGACCACCAATCACTTTACAGACATGAAGCAACTATTTTGACAACAAATCCAACACAAATACCCAACCGCCATTCAAATGGTCATTGTGACAGCCAATCCTCATTCTGAGAACTGATGGAGCCCGGTAGTGGTCAATAGCCAGCCTGTATGATACAATCATCCAGTCTTCTCAGCGTGGAGAGTTGTGTGTGTCTGTATCAAGGTATAAATCTTCCAGCAGACCTGCTAAAAGGCTGCCACCTCACTCCAAACATGCTCTGGAGAATAAGGATCTCTGACAATGCTCATTTTCTCACCACCAATGGCATGATGAATACCACAGTTGTGACCCAGAACATTATTAAGGACTTCCAGATATTCAGGTGATATCAATCTCAATGCAGTTTTCTATAGATATTAACCATCGTGTAATAAATCTGTTTCCCAACAATTCCTGATCTGGAAACATAAAACACACAAAACTAGTCTAGGAACTGGTCATATGGAAAATGTAACTTGGCTTTTAATGGTTATTACATCCAGCAATAAACCTGTAGTTATCACCAGTGTCTGTGCGGCTGTGTACAGTGAGATGGTATTAGTAAAGTGACATACAGTTTGAGTTGTTTAATCAATCTTATATATAGGCTGGATGAGTGAGTGAGTGAGTGAGTGAGTGAGTGAGTGAGTGAGTGAGTGAGTGACCAGTGAGTCTGGGACCAGACAATCCAGTGATCAACAGCATGAGCATTAATCATCGGATTGGGATACAATGATATGTGTCAACCAAGTCAGCGAGTCTGACCACCTGATCCCGTAAGTCACCTCTTACGACAAACATGTGTTACTGAAGATCAGTACCCAGATCTTCACGGATGATGGGCTATATGAGGAACTGCTTCTTTGCAGCTATATCTGGACAGCGACAAGCTGAGATTCTGCTATATCATGAGACATTGTTTTGATATGCAACACATACCTTTACTGGTGCAGTTGGGTAGCCTAGTGCTTAAAGCGTTGGCTCATCACACCAAAGACCCAGGTTCGATTCCCAACATGGGTACAATGTGTTAAGCCCATTTCAGGTGTCCCCTGCCATGATATTGCTGGAATGTTGCTAAAAGTGGTGTAAAACTAAATTCACTCACTCACTACATCTTTACTGTTACAGACTTTGACAACTGAGTCTATATATTATGGTCTGTGAGATACATGTATTATATATATGGGTTAAACCATTCAAGCCAACTGCACTTAGAATTATTGTCCATGTGCATCCATTATGCCTTTATACACCAAAAATATTTACTTTGTCAAATGACTACTGCCTAAATTATATGCATCATTGTACTACAGGCATGTGGCATTTTCAGTGCAGAAATGAAGATCACATCACAATAACTAACAGCTATGTATTAGATATACCCACACTTTCCGAGGTGTGCTGCTCAATACCCTATTGTTTGAGTCGTGGTGGCCTCGAGGCGTTAGCGAGGAGACCCACGACTCAAACAGTAGGGTATTGGGCTTATTGACACACCGAGGAAGTGTGGGTACATCTGACTTATACCTCACTTCTGGTCGAAGTTACGAGTTTATTATAACACTTTATGTTCCAATTATGACCAAAAAAATATTTCTTTTCCATCTGTTTCATTTATTTTTAGCCCACTGGTTAAGACCCTCAAATGTCAGCGTCTATAGTCTGTTTGCAGTGAAACCTACCGATCAATTTCACTTTAAACAAAAAAGTACTCAAATAAGTGAAATCACGATTAGAATCTCATAATTTGACCTTGCCAAATGAACATCTCAGAATTATATTCAACTTAGAATAAAATTTGTTTAACAAATGATCATAGTTTCAAATCAATATTATTGTTTTGTATTACAATTTTAGGGGGTAAGCGTAGTAGTTGGAACAGTGAAACAAATGCCCGTGCGATGCGTAAATGCGTTAACTTCTACCAAACCTGCATGTTCTGGGTGTTTCATTTAATGTGCATACCCCATTGTAATACAAACCAATAACAGCGCTTTGAAACTATGATCGTTTGTTAAACAACTTTTATCCTAAGCTGAATATAATTCTGAGATTTAAATGTTCGGTAGGCAAGGTAAAATTATGGGGATTTGCAATCTTAGTTTCACTTTATTTGATTTACTTTTTTAAAGTGATATTCATCGGTACGTTTTCACTGCAAACAAACTATAAGCAGTCAATTGCATGTGCATGCACGGGCTTGCACGATTTCACACGATTTTAAACACCAGTTCGGCTCTCGAGAATGACTTCAAGTAGCCCCAAATATGCTAATATTACTGATAATTGACATTTGTATGGGCAGACCAATGCGCATGCGTTCTCTGACTCGCATGTGGCATAGAAAACATTTGGAAGATCACACGTTCGTTCACCATGGATGCTGAAGAGTGAACAGAGGATTTTCTTTCTCAAATTGACAGTTTGTTGAAGCGTCACATTTCGACCTGGATGATAAGGAAGATTTTGAAACAGTCCAAATCTCAATGTGAGTCCATTGAAATAAAATTATATTTCGCCGTTTGTTGTGTCTTTATTGCTTCGGTATACCCTAGTGAAAAAGTGTAGGTGTATCATTGATACACCTACACTTTTGACAGGTGTACCGGTCAATACACCTACACGTTTAACAAAGGAAACCATGGCAACGAGACCGGAAGTGGGGTATAACTGGAATTACAAGCTATACTTTAAATGATGATATCAACAGTTTTACTGTAAAATATTTCAACAGTAATCTGTTATTGACAGTTTTACTGTAAAGGAATATTTGAACAGTTTTCTCTGCTATACTGTAAAAGGAAATTTTAACAGCTGTCTGTTAGAACAGCCGAACTGTAAAGGAAGATTTAAACTGTTACATGCTATGACAGGCAGCTTTATTGTATTCATTGAATATTTTAGCATTTATTGATAGTTCATAGTTTCATTGCAAAGAAAGATTTCTTTCCTAATGATATTTAAAAGGTAAATATGGGAGAAAAGTTGCTAAAGTAATTTCTGATTCAAAGTCTTTAAAGAATAGTGATGAGTTTATGTATTATGTAGGAACCTGCACATCAACTTCTGCACAGCAACACTGTCACAACCTGATGCCAAAACAGAAGGTTGTCACAAAAGGTCATCTGACTCCTCCAGTGAGCTAAACATGCATGTTTTTAGTTCCTTTTTCACTCTCTCTGTGACAGCATATTGTTGTCAGTATAATCTTTCTAAAGACAAAATAAAGTGTTTGACTCTAATAACATACACACGAACAGGAAACAACTGAATATGTACATATTTTCCTCCAATGTCTCCAGCCTACACTCAGGTCTCAGTGACAGACAGGAGCTATCTGTCAAGTGAGAATCTCCAGGTCTAGCCACAGATTGGAAGATAATGATCAAGAACTGATTCATTCAAAGTTTGTCATCCATACCACTTTCGGCCTGGCATCTACATTCAGAGAGTATCCCTTTTCATTTATTTGACCATCTCAATGTTCTGCCTCAGTGCCCATTTCTGGCATATTTCAAGGATGCAATTACTTTCATTTTTGTTTCCAGTGATTCAATATGGCTGCCAATATGTAGAAATGTTCACCATTGGTGTGACAGATGAGTCTGCCAGTCACTGTCAACTATATCTCAATAAGGTAGTCTGATTGGCTGACAGGATGGTGAAAGTCAAAGCTGGCCTATTACCATATTTGTCTCCTGAGACACACCAGGCCAAAGAATGCTAGCAAGACAGCCTCACCACAAAGACATGTTACTCTTGATGAAAGATTCAATTCCTCCCTTGGTGAGAACTTTCAAAGTTAGAGCAACCGTTTGAGTAGATCTTTGACAGCATGTCAAAATATCCTGTGTCGATATCTAATGTTGTTGAGTCAATGTCCTAAAATTCATTACTCAAAATATCAAGATTTGTTGAAACACTTTTATAAATATGCATACATATACTGGACAAAATAAGTTAGGGATATAGGTATTTTTATGATTGATATTTTATCAGTGTGTCAATGAATAAATAGATCATTATTCATAATTTCAAAATTTATGTATATCCCAAACTATTTTTGTCCAGTATACAAGAATCAGATTATGCTTTTATTCTGCACTAAAGAATATTTTGTGTGTTTATTTTCAAGATGTCATTTTGAATAGTTTTTGCGAAAATCCTTGGCATTGCTCGTTACATTTATACTAACACTGAAGCAAATTTGAAGCAGTTGTAATTTAGCTTGTAAAGAGAGTGTCGTATTTGTGTGATACAGTCTGTTGATGTTAGAAGAAGGCATGGTTACACTGTAATATCATTTATACTTTAAATAACATTGTTATTGAAGCAAAACTTTTGTAAAATTATACCCACAATTTCCACAGGAATTACTGACACTTTCACCAATGTAATACTACGTGGACCTGTGAAGATGTGGGTTAGAATTGGTCTTCAGAGACCCATGCTTGTGATAAGAGATGCCTAACAGGATTGGGTGGTCAGACTTGCTGACTTGGTTGACACATGTCATCGATGCTCATGCTGTTGATCACTGGATTGTCTGGTTCAGGCTTGGTTATTCACAGACCGCCGCCATATAGCTGGAATATTGCTGAGGGCGGCATTACACAACAAACACACAAACAAGCAAATGCTGAGCAAAAGTTTAATCATTACCATCAAATAGCATCAGCTATATCACTGACATTTTCTTTTAAATATGAAAGAACTAGGCCCTGAAGGTCCTGCAACACACCTTAAAGATGAAGCAAAGGGACAGCCATGTTTAACATATAACAAAAACATGTGATCAGTCTTAATGGACACGGCCACCTCCGTGATGTAGTGGTTAGAGCGGAAGGTCGCAGGTTCGATCCCCGGCCACATCACACCAAAAGACGTTAAAATGTGGTACTTGTTTGTCCCTGCCTGGCGCTCAACATTAATGGGTACAATGAGGACTGGTCGGCTCGGAGTCAGTATAATGTGTCTGAGTGGGGGTGAATGCTTAACTGCGGCATGGTATCTCAGTCGGCTAGCACTCTAAAACCAGCTTAAGTCACATACACATGCATGCATGTCGTCATATGAGTGAAATATTCTCAAGTATGACGTTAAACCCCATGTCACCTTACCTCACCTTAATGGACACCATTGCTGTTTCATTCAGCTAGGATGAACCTGAAACTACTGCTGACCTTAGGATTTGAAGAGTGAACAAACAACTAAACTAATGTCAAGCGGAGTATTTAACTGGAAGAATCAGGTTTTGTTGTTTTCGTCATCATCTTCCAAGAATGACCTTTGAATATTCATCATAAAACACTACACAAGTCTTTATATTTATCGTATGACAGAATGTCATAAGGAGTACCGAGGAGAGGAGCACAACACAGTACTGTAAGCATTGCTGCATCCTCCGATATCCCAATGGGCAACTCTGAAAGGAGCAAGTCATAGACTGTACTCAGATTGGCTATCAAAGCATCCATTTGAACGTATAATATAGCTGTCCCAATAATTTAATATGCTTTGCTAGCACAAAACCATTGGTGATATTTCAAAACATTATTTGACTTCATCCAGGGAATAACTTTGACTGTCATGACAAAATGGTCAAATAGCATAATCTTTATATTGAAAGTTAAATCATAAGAAAGTGGTGCTGTGATGCCAATATACCACTCAGAAATTGATGCCATCAAAACTACAGTAGAGAAAGCAAGAAAATGGCCTAGTTTGGGGCTTATTGTGAGTGCATAAACCCAGCTAATCCAATAACTAACACTGAGCCCGGCACAGATAGGGGAAGTGGATGATTTACTGAAACAGCAGGAGATTGGGCAAAACAGTTTGAAAATTGAAAATACAGTCGAGCACCGTTGTCTGAATATTCATGGGACCAGGAAAAATATCGAGTTATCCGAACTCCGACACATCTGACCAGGGCATATGATCATATATCAATATGAAAGAAAACAAAACGCTTCTCAGCATGTTTTGATTTGAAACTATGATCCCTTTTCAGTAGTGTTTAGTCGTAACAGTGAGTACTTCCTAATTAATTCCTTCTTAATTAATCCTAATTAAATAACAAACAAGTGACACCTTCAACTCAATTAGCCCTAATTAGTTTACACTATCGCATCCCTTTGATTCATGCGACACAATGTGGATAAACAACCTTAGTTCAGAGGGATAATAACTTGCCCATGAAAGGTAGGTGAATATGGAGTTTCTTTGCAAATATCGAAGTTAAAAGGGTAATTTTGCATGTTGGGACCTTGAAATTATATTGAGATATCCGAAATATCGAGACGTCCGTATCGAGTTAAAAGAGCTTGAATAATGATAATTTATGAAGGATTTTGCTGGGACCGAGATGTTATATCGAGACAACCGAGATATCGAGTTATCAGAGTTCAACACAACAATGCTTGACTGTATCAATGCCAGAAAGTAACCAGTCTTGATTATCAGCTAAAACTGATTCCATCAGGATTAAAAGGGTGGAGTGAGTGAGTGAGTGAGTGAGTGAGTGAGCTAGCTCTCATTCTGCTGTGTCAAAACATCAGGAGATGCTGTCAGTAGGATTGTCAAGATATAGTTTCACCATCTTGCGCTTGCAACATTGGAGAAAATAATTAAACTTGTTTGAACAGACACAAACTGTCTGCATCATAAATGACCTTGTCACATTCAAAAAGAGAGTTGGATTTAATGCCTCACATTTGTATTTCTTACTTAGTTTATCACCTTTTCATTTTGTTCATGGTTATATAGACACTAACATTGCATGCCTATCAAAAAATTATTTATTTATTTTAATTTTCTTTTTGTAAGCTTCTTCATGGCTGGCAGATGCATAGGATGAAATATAGAAATATATAGTCTAATTCTATTCAAAACATATACACTTTGGCACAAATCAATAGTTTAAGTGTACATAGGGTCAATACTGCTCAATCTATATAGCAATACGATATTGAACATTCTATCAATTAAAAATCTCCTATAATGAATCTTATAATGTCATTACAATGATCGCCTGAAAGGTCAATAGATATTCTCCAGTCATTAATGTATCTAAATACTGACAATTCTCACATGATCACCTCTTTTGTTTTATGACATATTTAACTTGCACTGAACTGAAATGTTAAAGAAGATCAATGAATAAGAAAATCATTGTTAAGATCTTTGTGCATATTAGCGAACATTGCTTTCATTTTAAGCCAATGACAGTTATACTCTTGATTGTTCAGAGAGGGTCCACCTTTTCAACAATTTCCAGAAATAATATTTTAAAACATTTTTACACTCAGAGAAATAAATAAAAGGTTTGAATGACATGACTAGGTGATGTTTGATTTCAAACACCCTGATTGGGAGGTTGAAAGATCCATACATGCAAAGGCTTTAAACATATTTGACATCTCTCAAGCACTTAATGGAGGCTGCAAGGTGTGACAGTGTTGCTTTATATGTTTTCTTGAAAAAGGTTGTGTCAGGCTGAAATAGAATTCCAATTTTATTTCTTGCTTTACAGATCTGCCTGTCACATTTTTTCAAGAATAAAAAAAAAAAATTAATTTTTCCTGCTCAAAAAATAAAATCCTAATATTTTCATTGGCCAAAAATGTAAACTTACAAAAAAAAGTTTTATTTTAGATTGTTTTGGGCCCCATATACACTTCATAAATTGCCAAAAGTAAAATACTTTTAGTATTTAGAAGAAATATTACTTTGACTGGTGATTTTTTTTTTCCCTCCTGCCTTAAGGTTTTCTGAGGACAAAAATCCATAAAACAAGAAATATAATTGGTCTGGCCTTATTGTCCCATACTGCATTGAGTGTATATTCCACAAGCTGAATGGGTAAAAGGATATCATTCAGCTCTTGTTATCTTTGCTGAAAATATGTGATCTCAAAACTTTAATTGTGAATATAATGCATGGGTAACATATTAAATCTATTTGATTGTGTTAAATTTAATCTGTGTTCTGTTCACACCATAGAATATATTCAGTTCCTAAGAAATGTGTTTATCTACCATAAATGACAAATTTTGAGGACCAAAATACAAATCTGTAGAAAGGGTCGGCTTATCCATGGGTTACACTTTGGTCAAACTAATTTTTATGGTGTTGAGAAAACCTTTATTGTATCACTTCGTGTGAAAGAACAAAAGAAAATTACTTTTGTCGATGTCAACCTGCAATTAAACATCACTAAACAAGATAATATACCTTGTCAGTTCTATTTAGGTTTTGTTGGGCATTGTATTATATGCAGGGCTTCAGATATTTGTCTTGTAAACAGAGCCAGAAATAGTATATAGCTACACTGTGCACACTGTATATGCCATGAGTGAGCACTACCAGACATTGTTACCCGTGAAGATCCGGGTTAGAATCAGTGGTCAGCAACCCATGCTTGTCGTAAAAGGCGATTAATGATATTGGGTGGTCAGGCTCGCTGACTTGGTTGACACATGTCATCATATCTCAATTGCGTAGATCGATACTCATGCTATTGATCATTGGATTGTCTAGTCCAGACTCGATTATTTACAGGCTGCCGCCATATAGCTGGAATATTGCTGAGTGCGGCATTAAACATCAAACCAAGCAGACATTGTGACATCTCAGATGAGCTGGTGCATGGATGTTTGATTGTTCTACACACACAACCCCCCCAACAGACCTTTGATCGTAGGTAAGGTAGTTTATTTTGTTATAACTGTAAGTAAAATATTTAATATTTATTCCTTTTATCTAAATTTGGTCACATTGAATGTCCATGTAAGGTCAAAAGAAGATTCAGGGATTGTCATTTAAAAACAAAAATTATTCATTCATAAAATGCTCATAATATCAGGAAGTAAGAAGTACCACCTTTCTGCTAAAAAGTGATCTTAGCGCTAAATTGATTGTAACTCTGCTTCTCTAACACAGATTTCCGACAATAAAAGCATTATGATCTCACTCCAGAACACTGCCCTAATTCCTAACAACATCCCAAGGAATCTGTTGACACTGATTTCAGATTGAATCAGCAATCACAAAAAGAGAATAATCAGCCTCAATTATCTGTCATAACAGATTCCAATTTTTGTAAAAGGCAAAACAGCAGTGAAAATTACATGAATGGAAAAGTGAAAACCAGTGATGTCTCCAGGTGTTTGCAAAAATGTCAGCTTGTGTTGTCCGACCAGTAGCATCTGCAGCTCACATGATCTGCATAAAAAACCGAGTGTTGATTATTCCTTGATGCTGCACAGTATTTCTCCTACCAAATGACAGAAGCCTGTGAACACTCAAGGCTTGACCAGACAGCTAGTCAAGTGATGGTAAATCTGCATTGTATGATGATTGTATTCAGGCAACTTTTGCAGTACTCTTGCAATGGTTGTACTCATCTGACACAGTGAAGATTGGTTTTGCTTTTGTTTTTCATTTATAATTGTTTCTATTTTGTTGAATTTCATATAAACATTTA